TCAGTGATGTGCCTACATGAGTGTTGAGGGAGACTGTGTAGACCAGGGTTTTTAAAAACATGGTTTGTGGAACACACCAAAATGGCCTGGTTCATCTATAAAATCAAGCCATCAGAGATGAGTTTGCACATTACTTAAAGGCAAGCAAGGTGAAAAACAGGTGGAGCAAGAGTTCGTCTGGAATTCTTTCCAATCACTTGACCAGTGGCAGTCCTAAGTTTGCAGGGGAAAGGCTGCATAATATGCCTCCCGATCATGTGACCAGAAGGGAAGAGGGAGGGGGCTTAAGAATGGAACCATCACCAACATTCTCAAGTACCTATCCCATAGGGGTGCACTGGGGGAACTGGTTTTGTTTTCCTCTGCAGCCCCCAACCCGATCTGTCCCATTTCCAAATGTAGTCTTTCTTTTACTGGCTTCCTCTTCCCACCACCAAATTTGATTTACAACCCATAGTGATTAGATTGGCATAACATGCTAGACCAGTGTTTCTCAACTTTGGCAACTTGAAGATGGGTGGACCTCAACTCCCAGAATTCCCCAGCCAGCATTCAATTCTGGGAGTTGAAATCCACACATCCTCAAGCTGCCAAGGTTGAGAAACACTGGATTAATGTATCAAACATGTTGATAGCAGACAGGAAGGACTTTAACTTGGATTCCTAGAACTTCCAGGATAGAATATATATTTGGACAGCCACGGGAGAGAAAAGAGGAAGGGAGAGGAAGATAGAAAGGTTTGGATTTTGTTTTTAAATGGAGGGGCTAGGACTTTGTGGGGAGAGAATGCCCCAACAGGGCTCTTCAGCAACGGTACTTTACTGATACGTTTGAAAAAAAAATAGCTCTTTATATCCCATGGTGTGCCCTTGAGTCCTCCAAAGTGTTCGCCCAAAACAAAATCAATCCCATAAAGGTTTAGTAACAGGCAAACTACAATGAATAATGGAATTTAAATCAAGTTGATGGATAAGCCCATGTAATTTTCTTGCCCACCACTGTGTGCCACGTAGTCAGATTCTATGCGGGGGGGGGGGGGATGTGCATCAAAATCTGCAAGATGGAGGCGTGCAATGTCATGACTAAAGCCCCTCCCTTTATAGATATGCAGCAAGATCACACACATATCTGAAAGGGGCGGGGCTTCAACTGCAACGCCATACCCACCACCTTGTAGATCTTGACTCTGCCTGCAGATGTCCATATCCAGTCTAGCTACAAGTTCAATGCTTTTCTGGCGGTTTCCCATCCAGTTAACCAGATCCAACCCTGCTTAGCTTTTGGGTCTCTGCACCCGTCCCCCAGTCCTGGTGGTGTCTCAGGCAAATACTAACCCAGCTTGATTCTGCTTAGCTTCCAGCAGGGCGACTTCAGCTGAGCGCTTAGAACTATCTGAAACCGCCAAAGTCTGTCTGGATTTTTTGTCATCCTGCATTATGACGATGGTCCTTGACATGGTATTTTTATTTAAGGACAGATTGATAATAATGGACATAATACCAAGCAACCTTTTAAAGCTCTACCAAGACTACTCCAAGTTGTTGTTCTGCATTTAGACCCAGAATTATTTTTGCTCAGCATAGACATTTCAAGGGAGAAAATTATTCCTGCAAAATGAGCCGCTGGAAATCACTGTTGGTTTGTTCCTCATCTTTCCAGGCTGCCTGCATCAAGCTTTTTGGAGAATGTTGGTATGAATGAAATCTCCCCCCAAGATGGCTTCTTCAACTGCCCGTACTATTCAGAGGTCACTACTGCCTTTAGGAATAGCAGGGTATAAGATGTCAGTCCTGTATTCACTGCCCAAAGCATATCTACTTGGGAAATGAGTATGAGCTATTTGGGGGACAGAAGGAGAATATCCTCCAGGCATGTAGAATGTGGCTTCATCAGTCTCCAGTATCTCTAAATAGGTTGAAGAAAGGCCCCCTTAGGCTGAAACCCTGGAGAGAGGTTGCTGGTGCCAAAACCAGCACTTAGATGGATCTGTAGTCTCGCTCACTCTCTCTGCCTCCTTAAAAGAGGAGCCCTGGTTGGTCTGCAGAAACCCTAAATGTGATTTCTAACACAGGACAGGAGCTGTAGCTTAACAGCGTTCTAAAGATCCCTGGACCTGCCCAAGAAGGATGAGAAAAACTTTTTTTTAACCCTCTGAAGACCCTCTGCCAGTCTTTCATCCTGCTGAGCCATTGCCTATTTTAACCAGGGCTTGCTAAATAAAGCCAAAGCTGGTTCATTCAAATCTAATCAAGGGAGAGGATCAGGCACCTCTTAATTCAATTCCACTCTTCTGCTGTCCCTTGAATTCAATTATGCCTGGAGGTGCATAAAATAACCAACTTTTCATCCGCTTTCCCTGGCTTTGCTCTCAGCCTCCCTCACCTGGGCGGCCTTCCGGAATAACAGAAAAGTGAAATGAATGTCAAGCCAAGGTATCAAAATACAACAAAAATTCTGGGCACCTCTGAAGCATTGAGAGGAGCGCTTAATGACCAAAAAGAGGGCATCATCTTCTCCGGAAGGAAAGAGGAAAAAGCTGGCAGGGCAACATGCAATCTTCAGTGGCCAGAAACACGTTCTACGTAGTATTTTCACTGATGATAATCGTATCTCACCTTTCCACAAACATCACCAGGGCAAGACATTTTGCCTTCTGGGGCAGAAATGAAAATGTGTCACTCCCCCGATTAAGGTGCAGAGCACTCAAGGCAAAACCGGGTCTCTCCACATCAGTGGAAGGAAACTGAACAAAAACAAATTAAACAACTCACCCCCCCATTTCGCCCCAAACCAAATATTTTTATTGATCCATTTTCAAACAGACCTAAAAAATATAAAATAAAAACAAACAATTTATTATACCCCAAAACAAAGAAAAGAAGAACTTTAAACAAGAAGAAAATACATTAAAAAACTCCACACCACCTGATTTGGCAAATCTTTAAAAAGAAAAATTAAAACTCATGGCTGTATTGATAATTTGCTGACCGTGCCTGACTTTCAAGATCCATTGACCAAGGCAACTCACTTCCCGAAGCAGCCCAACAGCAGGGCCGGCCCTTCAGGTCGCCAGCTTCTAGAAACAGTGCAGTGCAGATGAACATCATTAGCAGCTGTTGCAGAAGGTGGAATCAGAGTGAAGGGTCAGAATTCTAGCTTGAGAAGTGAAGGAAAGAGTGTCAGGTCAGTCTTAGCTCTGACGGGAAGATCTTAGCTCTTCCACCCTGGCCTTGTCACCATGTTACTGACCGTACAGTGTCCCTGAAAGCATCTCTCCAGCAGAGCTTCATCATCAGAGAAGATCCCTAACAAAGACAGGGATTCCCTTACCCTGCAAACGTTACAGGAGGAGAGGTGGGTTAGTTTATGGTGACACAAAATCGGGAATCTGGTAGCGCCATTTCTGACTAACCAATGTTAGTAAGAGGCAGCAGCTTTTAATAACTTTAATAAAGTTTTTTACTGTTTTTTTTTTAAGTAGCATGGGACAAAATGAGCTGAACGGGAGAATATTCTAGGAAGGGATAACTTATCGTTAGCAGCTTGGTCTGTATTGCAGAAAGAAGACCAACAGAATAATTATGTGGAGAAAGAATTTATCACTTTGGGCTTGCCGAGAGGGAAATTGGATTTCCCCCACTTCCTGTGCCTGCTCCTTCGACATTAACCCTGCAAATAGAAAACTAGCGTTTGGATTATGTTAGAAATGTTCGCCCTGGTGAGCTACTTTGCTAATAGCAAGGAGTCTTTTCAATGATTTTAAGTAATGAAACGTTTTCCAGGAACTGCATTATCCGCTTAGTTGCTGAGAGGTGGCTTGCCCACCCAGAACCCTCTGTCCCTGGCATAGGATGGTGCGCCAGGTCTGATCCAAACCTGGTGCCTTGATTTGTACAGCAGTTTTACCCTCTCGGCTGGGCTCTGGTTTATTTTGGGTGTTGTAGTCTGGCTAGGACGTAATATGAACAATGGTTAGACCAGTGTTTCTCAACCGGGGCGACTTGAAGATGTGTGCACTTCAACTCCCAGAATTCCTCAGGCTGGGGAATTCTGGGAGTTGAAGTG